TCTCTATGGCTTTGGCGATTGTTTCAGAATCAGAGTCTTCGACCATATCGGAAGGAGAGACAGTCATTTTTCTTTTCCTTTTCCTCTGTATTGGCAGGGGCTGTTTTTTCTCAATTTCTTTCTCAACTTTTCCCTCAAGTTCTTCAAGCTGCGATCTAGATTCCAAAGAGATGAATTCATCTTCTGACTCTCTGGCAGTTACCGAGTCGGATGAAATGACGATCGCCTTCTTCTTTCTTTTCAAAAATAACTCTTCCTCTTCATCTGATTCTTCCTTTTCTTCCCATTGAATATTGGATGTTCCCTTCTCGAGTTCAAAGAGGCTCATTTTCTTTTGTGATTGACCACCTCCACAAAAGAAGAATTAAAGATAAGGCAAAATGCATTATGAAAGACAAAAGGAGAAGAGACAAGGGTATACCTTTCTTCGAGGCAGCCCGAGTGACTTTGGGAGGAATTGAAGCAGCAGGATTAGCATGTGCTAATTCTGAAACAGTGGAAGAAGTGACCTCCCCAGTTTCTTTGGGCTTGGTCACATCTAACACTGTTAGTAGGCTTAAAGGTGGAATGGCCAAATAAATCTCCATGTTAGTCACCCACCAGTTTTGGTACCTCTTCAACACGGTACCTTGAGGAATGAAAGGGGTGTATTCAAAGGTGGCTAAGTCATCTACAAATTTCAAAGTTGCCTCTTCTAGCCTGGATTTCCTAACTTTCAAATCCCTTCTGGTAAGGCTGGGATTTGTATTGCTACAGAGAGGTATTGGGACTCCTTGTGTGAAGCCAAATTGTCTAGCAAACAGAGCTGGACAGTAAGGTTCGGCAATGCATTTGTAGGCCTTCGGGTTCAAAATCCTGATGAATAACTCTCTGGGAATCAGAATGGAAGCCCATATATCCTTGTGAATAAGTGAAGTACAGGACTGGTCACTTAGAAAATTCCTCAACCAAGATGGACTAATGGAAGGTTTGAAGGGACGAAAGCGGTAAGTAGGAAGGGAGGCTGGAAGCTGGTGAAAGAAAGAGAAGTAAAAAGTAAAGGCAGAAGGATAAAGTGAAGCATTGGCTATCCTTATACCATGAGTAAGAGGGTTTGGCTCGGAAAATTTAAGGCATTTGGATTGTAATTCAGTAAAATAGGCGAAAAGCCAAAACTGAAGGATCCAGAATGGCCCCCCTTGATTAGCATCTAAGGGTTTCTCGCAAAAAAGGGAGCAGACTCTATATACGTGCCCTAGAACATGTGGGGCTAAGGCCACCTTTTTCTGTAAAACAAAGGCTTTGGCAAGAGGGGCAAATTCAGGCATAATTCTCTGAGAGGAAGTGCAAAAAAGGAATTTACAAAGCCAATACAATAAGAAAGAAAAAAATTCCCTATCAGTTACAGGGCCTTGTCTTTTAAGCCAATTTAGATGTGGGAGGGGAGAGAGAAAGGGACTGCTAATCAGGATAATCTGGTCCAAAAGGAGTGCCAATAGGAGATAGTCCTAGTAAATGGCACATATCAAGAACAGTAGGGCCATCATCCCACATCTAAATTGGAAAAAGTTAAAGACAGGATTCCAAAAACATAGGGCAGCGGGAACAAGGAAAGGGTCCTCTGAAATAGTTACCCTAGACAGTCTGAGAGCATCGAGAAGGCAGAGTTCTTGAAGGTCCAGGGTCCTAGCAGGAATAACCCGATCATACCATTCTTGCCACTCTGGTCTCACCGTGGGCCAGCATCGGTGGGGGCGATTTATCCTCCAGTTCCTCCAGTCAAGACCACCTTCATAGAGAAGACATTGGTTTTCTAGTCGGGGATACAGGGCTGGGAGTTCAGTGAGGACCTCTTTGAATATGGGCCCAAGCACATAGTCTGATTGCACATGGCGACGAGGGACAAAGATGCGTCCATCAATAGCGCTCTTCTCCCCAGCTTTGTACTTTTCGCATTCTGCATCAATAATCCTCTTCAGGGCCACAGATGGGTTCATACACTCTACGACTGATACTGAAGGAGAAGCCATTGACGATATGCTTTTCTTCGGGAAAGGAAGTAGAGAGAAGCCGACGATCGGTAATAAGAGGGGTTTGTGCGATTAGAAGAGCAGGTGATTTCAGAACACAAAACAAAAGGGTTTTTAAAGCCCTCGTATTTGAAAATATATTACATGAGCTGTTAAGTATTAAAAGTACGAATATAAAAGCTTCCTTCAACATTGATGCTTTTGGAGGGAAAAACAAAGCCCAGTTGTTAAGGCTAGCTTTGAAGTAAGATATTTTGCTTTGAAGCCAAGTCAAACGGCTTCGAAACAGAGAAGCTAGCTTCGAAGTGGGTTGCCATACCCAAAATATAAAAATACTCGAGTATTTATTTCACTTAAAAGAGCTTAAAGACCTGTTTTTAGAGTTTTTAACAAAGGTAATGTCCTTCGAAGCAAAACTTGAGATTCTTTAAGGATGGGATTTGGTGTTCGAAACATCAAAAGCAATAATGACAATGACTAGATGTTGACTATGGTCGAAACAGGCTTTAAGTGTAAGATTGCTAGATTCGAAGCACTGTTTTCAATTGAAAATCAGCAAAAACTTTATTCCACAAATTGGAAAGGTTTACAATTGGCTCATTTAGTGTTTTATTTAAAACAATTAAGTCCAGATTCAAAGGATGAAATTGTTCGAAGTTCGAAGCTCTGAGTTGACTTTTAAAACACAAGTAAAAATACAAGTGAAGGCAGGGTCAAACAAAGACAAATGAAGAAGAATTTTGTTTATATTAAGATCAAGAGCGATTACATCAGCTGACCCTATCTCGGTATGAACTCGAGCTCATAAAAATAAGGAATGGAATAAATAACAAGATCATGAAATTTAGTCCAACAATGATCAATGAACTTTTGTTCTTTCCTTACTCTATCTTCTAAATTTTCTAGTATTGGCTGCATAAGTTGATGTGCTCTCACTTCGTAGTAGAGCTCTTCAGCCTTTATTTCGAAAGCCACCTCTCTTAATCCTTGTTCCAATTCATCAATGTCTAAGTCATCCCAATACGCAGAATCTTTATTCTTGAAATCATTGAATTCTTCAATAAAGTTCTCTGCTTCGTATTGAGCATGAATTCGAAGAGACGAAAGTTGGTCTAAAGATTGTGTAGTAGCCATAGAATTTCGATGCCAATAAAGAAGCAATGGAAGTTGGTCCAGAAACATATGAAATTCTGCTTGAGCAAGGGGATTAAGGACATGGTCCCTAGTCAGAATATCACAAGCCCATCGAAGGTTCTTGAGAGGGACTTCGTCCTCGAGTACATCAAAAGACAAGTGAGAGAAGGCTGTAAGTAGAAGCTGAGCTTGTTTCCGCTCAGCTGGGGTAGGAGGAGATAGAGGTTTATAAGGAGGAAAGACATTCTCCATGGATAGGGAAATCTTTAGTTTCTCTGTCCAGGAAAGAATTGGTGGGGAAGAAGGTATGCATACTTCAATTTCAGGAGACAAAGAAGAAGGTGTGGATGCTTCTGTTTTTGGGGATGATACGGGAGCAGAAGGAACAAAGGCATTAATATAATCAAGCCAGTCAGAAGAACAGATCTTCGCCTTCTGGGCTAAGAATGATGGGTTATACCCTTGTGCTTCTTCTGGGTGAGAGGCAGTGTGCACTATCTTTGCAGGCATAGAAGATGTATACCATGCTACAAGAAGATTCTCCTCCAGACTACGTCGATGGTCAATGGGCACATAGGGATAAACAACTGAACTTCGAGTATAGGAAGGAAACTCTAAAGGGTCAGTGAACTCAACAAAATGGTGGTTGATTCGCTCCTTCAAATCATAAGTCTCAAGTACTGACCAGCTTGTCCAGTCAGAACCCCTAGAAGATGAAGAAGTTGCAGCTTTATCCCATACAGAAATTTGCGAAGAAGAGTTGCTCAAATCCATATTCGCAAATTTCCGAATCAAAGGTTTGAGAGCAGATTGTTCGAACTGTAAAGGTAGGTCAGAAGGGGAAATTCTTATGTCTACGTTTGTAGCCTTCTGAATCGAAGGATTAAGAGCAATGTGTTCGTAGTCCAAAGGTCGGTAATTTGCAAAGGCGTCCATGAACTGAATATAGAAAGGTGGGTAAAGGTGGCCAATAAATGCATGCTTTCAATGAGAAATAGCATCGACATATGACTCTTCGTATGCTTCATCACTGGAGGGAAAAATTAATTTGGCCATTGAAATGTATCAGTCTGTTCGAATAATAAGATAGTGAAAGTACTTGAAGGATTAAGACGAGAGTATTAATACAGATGGTGAGTGACAGTTGCATTTCTGGGAAGATACAAAACCCATGCACGTTCTAAGACGTGGGAAAAGGGACCTTGATCCACTAATATCACCAAGTTTTGGGTATATTAGTGCGGGGGGTAATGTTGGCTACACATTTTATACTAGCCAATGACAATTTGACGCGTGGCAAAGTAAGGGTAATACGGGAAGACCAGGCAGGTCTTCGATCCTGATCATACACGTGGTAGTTAATATTGGTTGTTATAAGATCTGAGTAGTAGCGGATCAACAAAGAGACCTCAAACGGTGCCATACCGATACTCGACTGAAAACTGTTGTTGTAGGCAAACTCCACCTGTGGCAAAGTGAGGGTAATATGGGGAGACCAGGTAGGTCTTCGATCCTGATCATACACGTGGCAATTAATATTGGTTGTTATAAGATCTGAGTAGTAGCAGATCAACAAAGAGATGTACAGTGACGTGGCTTTAACGGTTGCTCACATTTCAAATTCAAATATAAGGGGGAAGCCTAACTGCAAGTGAAGGCGTAGTGGAACTACTTATAAGGTAGCATGATCAGCGACTACGGAGGAGCAGTTCGACGGTTTGAAGTACAATTCGATGGTTATCTTCGGAGAGTATAAATAGCAGGAAGGACTTCAGAAGGGAGGACGACAAAAATTCAAAAGAATTACTTTACATAGTCTAGTGTTATTTCCTGTCTTTTATATTTCTGTACTTTAAGTTTCTGCGCAGCACTTCATTTGTAGGAGTAGTTTTCCAGTATATTGCCGCTGTAATTCTCTACGGAACTAAGATCATTGTAAGTCTTTCATACTAATGAAATATTTTAGTTCATGTAATTGTTCTTATATTCAAGTTTTCTGAAGTCAAATTACCAGTAAGCCACCAATAAAAGTCCTCTTTATTGAGGCCGAAAGAACCATAACACAATCGTTTGAATAATTGTTTGGCAATTACAATTTTGTAAGGACTGATTGATCCTTGCTGGCACGCTCATAATTACAAAAGTAACCTTCGAAAGCCAAAAAGCCAACACTAACGCTGACTTGGAGTCTGAAAATAAGCTCCATGATGGCCATATGGCACTCTTTGTGGCAGAGGAATTTTTGCAATAGGCTCACCCCCGATGTTCTTGGCATCGACTATAATAACCTGTGAAGTAAGGTATTCTTGTGTTAAGTAAATTAAATAAAATTATAGACAAATTATGAATGTAGTCCTTGTATTTTAATTTTTGTGTTATTTTAATTAGTTTAATTTTCACCTTAAATTTATAATTTTGTCTCAATATGGTCTAATTGGTTACAACTCTTTAGTATTTTTTTCTATGAAAAATATGCACGTAACATAAGTGTAATGTGTAATGTTTTTAAGAGCAAAATTATAAAATTATCCAACTCACTGAGTTAATCTCAAACAATTTAGTGATAATTTTTTTTAAAAAAACACTAACGATAATATTAATTGGATTAAATTAACTTAAAATCTAAAATTAAGAATCAAAATCAAGTTAATTGAAAGTATATGGATGAAAATAACACAAAGAGTAAATGTAGAGACTGTCGGTATAACTTATCCTAAAAATTTATTATATATTTAATAAGTGAACTTACGTGAGATGTGTCGGTGTCTTCGTCATGAACAAAAGCGACAATCCAACCATCGTCTTCTTTGGAAGCTCCAAGTTTAGACACAAAAGCAGATCCGGTGCAGAAATTGTTCTTTGCAAACTTATGATGCTCCATTTTTATGGGATTTCCAAAATGTCCCTTCTGATATTTAAGACAGCCGCAAGTACAAACACAAGTAATAATGAACGTATGGTCAAGTAGCATATTGTCTCATATTACTTTTGATCGGGATTAAAATATATATATATATATATATATAACCTATATGGAAATTATATATATTTTTTGTTTTAAGTCCGCTAAATTCATTTTATTTTGGTAAAATTTGGAATTAATAACTACTAATCCAACCAAATAGTCCAATTTGCAATATTACTACCCTCATTATATTGCTAATCCCATAATCATGAGATTAATTAGATCAACCACACCAATTTATTTTATTGGATTCTATTAATAAAGTTTCCTTCACCCTACCGTAATTTAACATATATGAGTTTTAGAAACTAAATTTTTTATTTGCAAAAGTGAAAAATTTGTTACAAAAAAATTTAGGACCCAATTTCGGGTGTTGTGAGAGTTGTTACTAAAAGGTTGTCTTGAAAAATTTTAAAAATAATAATATAAAAAATTAGCGATAAAATTCTGATATTGTTGCTAAAAAATAAACAATTTGGTGAAAAAAATTATTTAAAATAAAAAATTTGATCCTAAAAAGATAGTAATTCATCACTAAATTTTCAATTTTGTTGCTTAAAATACAATAATGACACTTTTGATAACGAAAATATGTTACCTCTAAAAAACAATTTTGCCCCTAAATTTTTATCTCTAAAATTTCAATTTATTATAATGATTGTACAAATACTATCATAACATTAATAAGGGAAAGGGTGTGTACCACATGTATCTTTAATTACGACATTTGTATTATTGGTTATGACTTATTATGTTATTAGTTATGGCACATTATGATATTGATTATGACATTATTTTGATTATGATTCAAGAGTTGTTTAGTTATATTATTAGGCTTTTATTCTTAGCAATCTCGTTTGACAAAACTCCTTTCAGTTGTAATTTTATTCGTTCTTTTATTTCAGTAAGACTATGAGTTTTAGATGCGAATCCAACCCCGATTGTGCCTTGTAGAGAAGTTTGTGGTGTTAATTCTTTTATGTTTGCAGTTGAAGTTGTTTATTCGCACAAGCGGTCATTCTTGCACTTGAGCGAAGATCGCGACCTTTCAGAAATTTTCACTCGCTTGCAAAAATATTGGGAGCTGTTTTTTCCCGCTCGAGCAACCATTTTTGCGCTCGAGCATAGATCCACTCGAGCGTCCATTCTTGCGCTCGAGCAGAGATCGCGGATCTGTTTTCTATAAATATGTGTTTTAATCCGATTTTAGGGTGTGGCTTCCAAATCTTCTTTTTGGGTATTAGGGTTTTCATCTGGAGCTTCTTTGCTTGTTTCCTTTGATATCTATGAGAGTTTAATCATGAATTGAGTGGATTATATCAAAATGTTTGTTTATTTTGTTTTATTCACAAATAGAGATTTATTCTTTGGTGGATTTTGTGAAATTTGGGCCTGAAGCTTTGATGGATTCTAGAGTGGCTCATCGTCATGAATTTGACATCGGCGTTGTAGATTCAACGTTGGACAAGACGATTCTGAGGTGAAAACCGTGGTGGAAAAGGCATATAGGGGTCGGTTCAATTCGGGCTTGGATTCGCTAAGCAATTGAGAGTGCACTTGTGTAATTCCTTTTGTCTTCTTAGTGGATTGTTTTGTGGCTTTTGCCCGTGATTTTTTATTACAATTGGAGGGGTTTCAATTGTGATTTTTCCACGTTAAAATCGTTGTATCGATTTGTCTTGATTGTTTAATTGGGGTTGTTATTTACTGCTTAAAATTGATACATAAACACAAATTAATATCTAGGAGATTTCTAAATTTTTCATACATCATGTGATATTTGGTTATAGCTCAATTTATTTATTTTTTAATTATCACTTCTCATAGTATTAAGTTATGCTATTTGTGATGATCAAATTTACAAATAACATAACTTATATATGATATCATTTATTATTTATAATTTCAAGATATTATCAATATGGTAAAATCTCCTTCCCCTCTTCCGGCACCAAAATATATATATATATATATATATATTATATGCTGATTATCAAGCATGGTCTACAAATTTAGAATGAAAAATTTACTTTTATGAGAACAAGTAAAAACGAATTGGAGAAATTGCAAATAAATTGAAAGATTTAAAAAAAAAAAATTGTATAATCATGAAAAAGTTTCACTTCAATTATTAAAGTTGATAAGTTTTTTCACAGATTTTCGAAAATTTGTCTCGTCTTTCAACTGAATTGCAATTTTCCCAAAAGAATTTGACTCCTCAAGTCTCTCCTAAGGAGAGGTCTTAGGTTTAACTCTCCCTAGACTGAAGTGAATGCAAGGACAAAGTGAGAGTTTAATTCCTCCAACGTGCTAATTTAACAACTAATTATTAACTTTCATTGATCAAAAAAATATAAAAAGAATTTATAAAATTCAAGAGTAATTACCACAGATGACGCTAAAGAATCTGGCTCCTCAAAGTACAATTTGGCCAAACTTCCGTATTTTGTTTTTCCTGGAAAATATTTGTTCTGTTTAACCAAATGCCACACACAACAAATAGTCATATGAAAGAAATTGTGTTGTGAGTTTGATTACCACAAATAGAGCTCGCTTCAGAATCAATGACTTGGGTATATCCATATTTACATCTGAGACCAGTGTAACCTTCATTGATCATGGGGAAATCCATGGAGAACTCGGTTCCACTGAGATTTCTCTCCTTAACCTCTCCAGTCTCCATGTTTAACCGCCATTCGTTAACACAAGTAAAGAGGAATCCATCTTTGATTGAACTATTATCATCTTCTTCTTCGGTTGAACTACTCAGTGGTTTAAATCCTTTTGAGAACCATTTGAATTTATCTATACCCCAATCCGGGCCAGGTATGATGGATTCATTAGACTTGCATGCTCTCACAATCACCTGTATTTTTTTTGAAGGAAATTTCATTGTACCGCCCAATTATACCTCGTTGATCAATTTAATCTTTATACTTCTTATAATTTCAATTTTTCATTTAAATTATTTAATTTTAAATCAATTTTACCCTGCCGTTTATAATTAAACAGAAGTTACTGACGTGGTATCGAAATTTCGTTTGAAATTTTATTTTGTCCCTCAAACTATCTCAAAAATATTAATTAGATTCCAAAGCTTTATATTATTTAGGAGGCTGATTGATATTTTGGGAATAGCTTAAAAAGTAAAATGAAATCTCAAATGAAGAAGGCAACAAGTCTAGTTTAATTATAAATGGCAGTTAACGGAGTGAAATTAATCCAAAATCAAATAGTTTAAGTTTAAAGTTTAAATTATAAGTAGTACAGGGGTTAAATTAATTATCGATGTATAGTTTGAGAGGCAAAATGAAATTTTTTATATATTTTATTTTAATAAATGTTTCAGATTCATCAAAAAAAAAAAAATGTAAAAAAGGATTGAGAGAAATGAACATATATATTTTATTTTAATAAATGTTTCAGATTCATCAAAAAAAAAAAAATGTAAAAAAGGATTGAGAGCATTGAACAAGATTAAATACCTCATCACCATCTTCGAAGCAATTGAGAATGTGAAAAGTGCAATAAGATTCAACATCAAACCACCGTATTGAATCTGCGTCTCCATAACGAGGCATCACTCCAATCCTTGCATACTTCTCCTTTTCATACTTTAGTAATCTGTGTGTATAACCATTGATTTATTAGAAAAACTAACAATTGACCTATCCAATGTACGTGTTATTTTATTTTTTTATTTTTTTTAAAAAAAAATTAACGGTGTAATGTGTGTTATAAAAGAATAATTTAAATTTAAATTTAAAATTAAAATTAAAATTAAAGTATGATTTTAACTGTTTATTTTGATAATATTAGCACTATCGTTCTATAAAATTGTTAGTTAAATACTTATATATATTAGTTAAATTATTTGTGTATTTTGATAATTTTAGTTCTATCGTATTATAAAAGTGTAATTATCATATAATAATTTTGTATGATATATATTAAATTATAAAATAATAAAATAAATACTCATTTTAATATTAAAAATAATAATTAGAAGAAAAATTAGTAATATAAAATTAAAAGTAATTCTAACTATTTAATTTTCTTTTATATTCATTTAAAAAAAATTGTAGAAATAAAAATTATTTTATATTAAAAAAAATTTAAAAATTAAATATAAATATGATATATTATATTAGAAGATTGTAAAATAAATACTCTTAATTAAATTAAAATATCAACTATATAAAAGAAATTTAACAACGACTAATCAAGAAATAATCACATAACAACATATAAACCCAAAAAGAAAAAATAATGAAAACATACATACGATAGATACATTTTAGTATGTGAAGTGATTAATCATCTGTAATATGATGTCAAAATATAAAAGAATTTATTGTTCAACAATTGAAAAAGTCGGTGGTGGGAGTGGGGTGCAAACCACTGTTGGTGATTCACAATGAGAGGTTTAAAAACTGAACCAAACTGAAATTCAAATTCACTCAAAATAATTCTGAGGAAAAACATAAACAAACAAAGCACTCTTGCTCTTCTTTCTCCCACACTCTCATCTATATCTGATACACCACACACAACTATATATATAGATAAACTAGCAGTGTGAACATATTTATTGCAGATACAGCTATCAATGTGAATGCATTTAATGCGTATACGGCTATCAACAACCACATTGAACGCTGCCTCTAATCAAGATTACGTCACAACATCCCCTCTTAATCTTGATTCTCCACGCTGCTTCATCCCGAGCATTATCTTCATTCTGTTGAACAGATCATTTTTCATATATATATTTATTTTAGTTAGGGAAAATTACATTAACAGTTCCTATAGTTTGAGACTCGTATCATTTTAATCTCTGACTTTTCAATTGTTACACATTTAATCCTAAATTTTGAAACTTGCTCCAAATAAGGACAATTGAATTGCTCAATTTCAAAAGCAAAGACATCAATTTGATAAAATATAACTAATTTGACAAAAATAAATATCAAAAAAAAATTGAATTTGTAAAAATTATTTCTATATCCATCAAAAATAAAATTATGTAAAATTGATAAATCTTTTATACATTCATTTATTTATTTAATTTACCAAATTAATTTTTATTATGTGTTTAGATGATGATCATGTAATATGTGGTTGTTAGACTTTTAATGTGCAATCGATATATTTAATATATGAAATTTTTTTAATTTAAGATATTTTGATTTAACGGATTGGTTTAATAATGATATCAAAGTTATCACCTTATTTGACTTTTGAAAAAATAAAAACTAATTTAATGAAAATAAAAACAACCATCCATTACAGGATTATCATCCAAACACATAATAAAAATTAATTTGGTAAAATAAATAAATAAATGAGTAAAAGATTTATCAATTTTACATAATTTTATCTTTGGTGGGTAGAAATAATTTTTAAAAATTCAAAATTATTTTTTTGACATTTATTTTTGTTAAATTAGTTTATATTTTATCAAATTGATAACTTTGCCCTTGAAATTGAGTAATGGTGTTTTCAATTGTCCTTATTTAGAACAAAATTCAAAATTCAGAATTAAATGTATCACAATTGAAAAGTCAGGGACCAAAATTTTACAAACTCCAAACTATAGGGACCGCTAATATAATTCGCTCTTTTAGTTAAATTATTTATGTATTTTGATAATTTTAGTTCTATCATATTATAAAAGTGTAATTATCATATACATAAAAGAACTTACTGTTTAACAATTAAAAAAAGTAACTCAAGCAATGAATCCAAACTTTAGAAGTTCCTCGAAAGTATCATTATTGTGCGGTTTTTTTCCTCTTATGAATTGTAATTATATAAAATAATGTACGAAAGGAAGTATAATTTCATATATACAATTACTATAAAATTTAAACGATAAATTTATATTACAGATATAGAATAATGCACACAAAAAAAAATTTTAAAAAAATGAAGGTAATTTAGCTTTAAAAAAATCCTAATACCTTTGAAAGAATTATGAAGAAAAAAGTGAAACGCAAAATTGGTATTGAGTTTATGGATTATCTTAGTTTATAATAGAAAAATATATGAAAAAGAAATATTTGTCAAATAGAGTCCATATAAAATAGGTAAAGTTAGTATAATTTAAATTAGGTTTGGATTTGTGTAAAATTCTATATATAATTAATAAAGTACGTGCTGACGTGGCTCTCTTAAAAAAAAGTAAGCCCTTATAAGAGCATCCACAATAGACACACTAACGTGTGTTAGTGTCAGGTGCCAAGTTTTGGCTAGCAGAGGGTATTGTTTGGGGCTGCAATGGAGCTGTTAGTGTGTGTTAGTGGTGTATGTTAATATGTTTGTTATCTGCAGCTAGCGTTTTAGCTAGCGAAGGAGAGCGTTTTCTGGGTTTACCGGTTGACCGGTCAACGGCAAATTTTTATTTTTATTTTTTTTTTTTTTACTTCTTGGGATTTTTTTTTTTTTACTTGAAATTTAATTTTGAGTTTGAAATTTTTTATTAAACTAAATTATTTATTTATTTTATTTATTATATACACAAACACACACACATATATATATATATATTTTAACATACACCTTAACACACCCCTTAACACATCCATTGTACCACCATTCATTCACTATTCACTCACTAAATTAACAAACTCTTAACACATATTTTTAGATCCCACTTTTAACACTTTTTGTCACATAACACACTTTAACACACAATTTTAACACATCTATTGTGGATGCCCTAATATGTCACCTAAGCATTGAAAAAATATTACTTTAAATAATATATATATATATATATATATGATTTATTACTTTTTAGTAATGTAAAATTAGGATTCAAAACGTAAATAAAATACCTCAAGATAATATTGATATATTGAAAAAGAGGAAAAGTCAATAACAATAACAATCAACATTTTTACCGATTGTAAAAAAAAGTTAGTAAAATTGTTAGTGTATTAGTAAATATTGTTGTTATTATAGTAACATGTCTATTCAATATGTGATTAAGAGACTTTTATAAAAGAATATACTTACGGTCCTCCTCGAAGCAACCTATATACATCTATTATAAGTGGGAAATCCAATATAATGTCGTACCTGAAATCCAAAATCAAAACATCATGTTAAAGCATAACAATGGTTCAAAATACAATTTAAAAGCAATGCTATTCAAACTTAATTTATATAGAAAAAATTCATACAAAATGATCTCGAATATATATATATATATATATATCTATTCATTAGAACTCCAACCACTTATCGTTGTGTGTGGTTTATGACATGGGTAAGCTCATAAAGGTTATAGCCCACCACTTAGGACCCAATACATAATTCAAATACTAAAGTCCAGTGTTGCTGGAGCTCAACATGACATTAAGAACCAATGACATCTAAACACGTGGCAAGAGAAGGACAAGCCACATAAGCAGACAAAGATCCTGTAAAGTTATTACACTGTACATCAGCCATTAATGAAGTCCCTTACAGCATTTATTGCGATAACCCCTCCCCGTCGAGACAGAACGGCCTCACCATGAACAAGGCAAGCTAGAGCATAGACTTTCGACAAAGATGACAGGTCGGAAGGGACAACGAAATGATTACCAAAGGATATAAGCAGATGTCGAAGACAAAAAGAAGGTTAAACTTTTTATCTCTAATCTATCTCTATATTCCATCTCTCCTCCTAACTTGCCCGTCGAAGGGTTCACTGGGGGACTCCCCGTTCCCCGTTGAACTCTTGTGCAGATTCCTCTGTGGGCTTGGTACCTCGGATACTGGTGTGGGAAGCGTGGATCAGTCCGACCTGTTCCATCTAGAACCCGTTGTACCATCAGTTGGCGTCGTCTGTAGGAAACCTTTCTGTTCCGCGTGCCAGTTGTGCCCATTGCTGCCGGAGACCCTTTCCCAATAACCCCTTCCTGCCACCCACCAAGGTGGATGGTCACGACTAGATCCATGGATTCTCACCACAATGTTGCCGACCACCAAGCCGACCGTCCCAATCGAAACAACCCCCCACAGTATTTCACCGAGCTCACCAACAGCATCAACCGCCTGGCTGAGCAAAACCAAGCCCTGATTAATGCTCTACTCCAAAGAAACCTTCCTATGCCTCCTCCACCACCTCCAGATATCCCACCCAACCAAGAACGAGCCCCGAGCCATACTATCTAACAGCCGCATCCACCTAACTTGGAAGGCTTGCGACCCCTTCCCCCAGATATGAACCCTCCACCTCGGGTCCCACACCCATCGGCCCCGGCACCCACCCCCAAGGGAAAGGCCAGTAGCATCCAGCCTCTGCTCCAGTCTGGCGGTGACAACGTCCCTTTCTTAAACGCGGAACTCCGAGCCATGAAGCTCTAGCTCCAAGGAGTCATGCAGAACATACCGAATAGACCATCCACCACAGCCAACTTACCATTCATTGCCTCCACCCGGGACAAACCTCTACCTCCTAAGTTTAAAATGCCCACGATCGACTCTTTCGACGGTACAACGGACCCAGTCGATCACTTGGAGACCTACAGAACCCTCACGATCCTCCGTGCATTCCCTGATAAAATCATGTGTCGGGCTTTCCCCGTAACACTCAAGGGGTCGGCCGACTCTAGTTTAGTCAACTGCCAACAAACTCTGTTTCCACTTTCTAGCACCTTAGTGACTCCTTTCTCAGCCATTTCATTGGAGCCCAGCACTAGCGGCGTCCGGCAACCCAGCTCCTCAACATCCATCAGACCGAGGGGGAGTCGCTGCGCAACTTCGTCACCCGCTTCAACACCAAAGCCCTGCAGGTAGCGAAAAACGATGACAAGGTCATCCTCACGGCTTTCGTGGCCGGCCTACGATCATCTGATTTTCTTTTCTCCTTCTCCAAAAACCCCCCGACGTCCATGACAACCCTACTTTCCAAAGCCCAAAAATACATGAACGCCGAAGATTCCCTAGCCGCCCGGCAAGATCCTACAGTCAAAAACCCGACCCCCAGAGAGAAGAGAAATGACTCAGAAACCAGAAACACCCAGTGCACTCACCAAACACCTCACTATACCAACCAACCATTTCGAGCCGACCGGTCGACGCCAACCCGACCGCCCAGGCGGTTCAAACATTACACACCCCTCAACTCCCCCATAGAACAAGTCTTGAACCAGATTCAATAAGATTATCCCCTAAAATGGCCTCAACCGTCACGGTCTCCTTCCAACCGGTGAGACCAGTCCAAATACTGTCGCTTTCATCAGGACCACAGCCATAATACGGAGGAGTGTGTTAACCTCAAAGACCAGGTCAAGGGTTTGATACGCCAAGGACGTCTCAGTCGGTTCACGGAAGCCCGCCCTCAGTAGAGGAAAAGGACTGAACCCATCAGAAATAACCACCGGCGAACCCCTCCAATGTTATCGCCCTCCACAGTAACCCCGAGCACAAGCTAACCCCGCCTCCCCTGTTGGAGAAATTAGAGTTATTGTTGGCGGGCTCGCTTGTGGGGGACCATCCCGCTCAGCTCAGCGGGCAGAGCTCAGAAGAATAAAGTAAGGCTCAGATAAAGAAGTTGTCACATTGGACTGTCCTTCACCCTCACGCAGGCCGACTGCACAGGCATCCGTTACCCCCATGACGAACCCCTCGTCATCTCTGTCCTCCTCTCCAATTACAAAGTCAGACGGGTTCTCGTTAACAACGGCAGTTCTTCAAACATCATCTTCCTAAATGCCTTTCGCCAACTCAAGGTTGGGGAAGAAAGTCTATCCCCTCTCCAAAACCCATTGGTCGGTTTCTCTGGAGACCGGGTGACCTCCATCGGCTCCATCGATCTTCCCATCACAATCGGCGAATAGCTGCGTCAGACCACAAAGTTGCTCACCTTCCTCATCGTCGACTGTCCCTCTGCTTACAACATTATCCTCGATCGCACTGCCCTATATGCTTTCCAAGCTATCACATCCACTTTCCATCTTGCCGTCAAATTCCCCACCGACCCTGGGGTCGGCATGGTGAGGGGAGAGCAGACCATAGCCAGAGAATGCTACGTCACTTCACTTAAAGAGGTCAAGCTAAAGGAGGCTATGATCATTGAAGGACTCGACGTCAGGGATGAAGACGAGCTAGTCAGAGGGGAACCAGTGGAAGAGCTTGTCGAGGTCTTCATCGATCCCACCAACCTGGCAAAAACTGCCAAGATCGGCAGCCAACTATCCCCCCAGGGCAAGGCTGACCTTATGGCCCTTCTGATCGAGCACAACGACGTATTTGCTTGGACCCACTTCAACATACCGGGTATTGACCCCTCATTCATCACCCATTGTCTCAGCATTGAGCCCCATTTCCGACCCTTCCGCCAGAAGCAGCGCATCTTTCACCCGAAACGCAATACTCTTATTGCTTCTGAAGTAGATAAGTTCCTTGAGGCACAGTTTATCAAAAACATGAACTACCCCAGATGGCTGTCGAATGTGGTCTTAGTCCGTAAAAACAACGGTAAATGGCGACTCTGTGTCGACTATTCCGACCTCAACCAAGCTTGCCCCAAAGACAGTTATCCCCTTCCTCGCATAGATCTGCTTGTTGACGTCACGGCCAGTCATCAAATGCTCAGCTTCATGGATGCCTTCTCTAGGTACAACTAAATTCTGATGCACCCATCTGACCAGGAACACACCTCCTTCATCATCGACCGGGGAATCTACTAATATCGTGTCATGCCATTTGGGTTGAAAAATGCCGGAGCCACTTCCCAACGGTTGGTAAACGCCATCTTTCATCATTAGATAGGCCGGAACATGGAAGTATATGTCGATGACATGCTAGTCAAGAGCAAACTCTCCACTGATCATCTGGCCAACCTGCGAGAGACCTTCGGCACCCTACGCAAGTATCAAATGAAGCTCAATCCAAAGAAATGTGCCTTCGACGTAAGATCTGGGAAGTTCTTGGGTTTCATGGTCAGTCAGCGGGGCATCGAAGCTAACCCCAAAAAGATCAAGGCCTTTGTAGAAATGCAGTCACCCAGAACGGTTAAGGAGGTTTAGAGGCTTACTAGCAGAGTAGCCGCCCTCAACCGCTTCATTCCCGCACAACGAACAAGTGTTTCCCCTTCTTCAAAGTTCTACGACAAACTTTTGAATGGACGACCGAGTCCGAAGAGGCTTTCCAACAATTGAAGCAGTGCATGGACAACCCTCCTTTACTCTTCCAGGCACTCACGGGCAAGCCCATTTTTCTCTATTTAGCTGTATCAAGCACCGCAGTCGATGCGGCCCTCATCAGAGAGGACGGTTCAGTTCAACGCCCGGTTTATTACATCAGCCGGCCTCTCAGAGGCGCAAAACAGAATTATCCATTGCTAGAAAAAATGTCCTTGGCCTTGGTCATCGCCTCAAGACGACTCCATCCTTACTTCCAAGCCCACTCCATAGTGGTCCTCACTGACCAACCATTGAAGAAGATCATACAACAACCAGAGCTGTCCGATAGACTTATGCAATGGTCAGTCGAGCTCAGCCAGTTGACATCTCCTACAGACCTCGAACGGCAATCAAAGGACAAGTTGTTGCCGATTTTATCCTGGAATTCACTAATCCCACTCCGACCACAGCCCCACCGCCCCCATGACCCCAGACTGAGGCAGAAGACCCCCACTCTTGAATCCTCAACGTCGACGGATCATCCCGCAAAGAAGGCAGTGGGGCTGGTCTCATCCTCACCACCCCAGAGGGTGGTTATTTCAAGTGTGCTCTCCGTTTCTTGTTCGACGCAAGCAATAATGAGGCCGAATATGAGGCATTGATAGCAAGTCTTCGCCTAGCCAGAGACATTGGTATTAGCCATATCCAAGTGTTCAATGATTCCCAGCTCATTGTCGGACAAATTACGGGGAAATTCGATACCAAGGAAGACACAATGCGGGCTTACAGGGATATTGCACTCCTCTTTGCTCGTCTCTTCAATACTTTCCACATCAAGTACATCCCTCGGGCAGAAAACTCCAAGGCAGATGAAATGGCTCAATTAGCTTCTGCAGACTAGTCAAACCTCAGCCACAGTGTCCGCATTGAGTACCTAGCCCACCCTGCCATTTCCCCAAACCA